TGTACAGTTTATAAATTTCAGATTTCCTCAAAATGTAAAAATGCAAAACGATTGGATTAAATATACGATCGTAACTTTTGACTTGGGCGATAAAAAATCACCCTCCAATTTTCCTCCGGAAGTAAGCTCCTTGTTCGACCGTCAAAAATGAGCGAAGGCCGTTATATTTATTCTAATTATATGGTACAAAGCATAAAATTCAGGTTATATTTTGATTCAAAATCGTTTAAGGGTAGATTGCATTGTCAAGCGTTTTACATTTTATTTATTTTTTTTAAATTCAATAACATTTTAAAAATAATTACTCAAAAAACAGTTTTCCTTTTTTTAGTATTTCGGCTGTTTACATTATACTGTCGCTAACCAACGAACATGCAGGCTGTATTTAGTTTATTAGTTGCACCGTGGGTGGAGCTTATGAGTCTCTTTAAACTGTTGACTATAAATAAATATTTCTGGAAAAACCACTTTGCCGTCTCCGAGATTACCGTAAACAAACAGACTTTAATTTATTCAAAATAATTGTAATTATCAATGAAAAATATATTGAGTATTCCCTAATTGCACTAACTCGATTTCGAATAACTTTCGACTATAACAAGCTCGAGCAAGCTAATTCTACGCGATACAATTTATTTATTAACTAAAGTTAACTTTTACTCAATTTCTGCAAATTCTGTTTACTTTTAAATTTTCACTACAAGGTGCTTTTAGTTTTACGTTTTTCTAATTTTTTCTTTATAAAACAATTTTTTGTAAGTAAAAAGCGGTAAAAATTGAAACAAATTGCTGATTATTTTAAAATCCGAAAATGCAACTGACGAGAGTTCTCCTGTTTTATGTTAAAAGAAGGAAGATTCCTGGAAGATTAGATCTGGGGTGTTGTTTTATAATTTAATTTTAATTTTTAATAATTAAAAATTAATTAATTTTATATTAAATTTATTAAATTGAATTACAAAAAAAATTTATAAATAAAGTCAAGCTTCAATAATTAATTCACTAGTACGCAAATAATAATATTACAAATATATATTTTAATTTTATTATTTGTTGTTAAAATTAATTTGCAAATTATTTTCAATTATTTTTTCATTTTTTTTCAGAAAACATCAGCTGGTCAAGCCTGTCACATTGGATTTAAAGAAAAAAGCTGTCACTCAACTACTTCATGAAAAGTTGAACCTTGCATATTTAGAGAACCCATATTTAAATGAAGTTAGGATAGATAGAAGATAGAATAGATTGATATTATATATTATTTTTAACTATTCCCATTACTTAGAAAACCCACATATCTCAATGATGTTAGAATAAATTGATAATGATATATATATATATATATATATCATTTAGTGGACCCTATCTCCTATCACCTCGATAATACATAGAATGATTTTTTTTAATGTTTAATTTGATATTTATCACAGTTTGACTATGCAATAGATAGAGTGGGGCATATAAACGAGCAAACTTTGTTGCTATCTATGACATGTAACTTAGTGCATGTGTTTTTATATAATGTATTTTTTTCAAAGTTTGAGTGTTTCTATGTGCGTAAGTTTGTTTGCGTGTGTGTTCTTTAGTGGAGTCAAATTTTCAATATAGAAACATAATACCACCTTTTACATTTTTAAAAAAAGGCTAGATTGATTGTATAGTCTATTGATTGGTTATATTATAATAATATTATATATTGATTGGTTTCTAATGTTATATTGATACCTCTAAAGTTAGTTAATTAAGAGAATAATTAATTATTAAATTAATTATGATAATTAATTATTATTTTTGCAGGAAGAAGAGAAACATCTAAACGAAATAGAATACAGACAGGAATTGGCTCTGATGGAGAAAGAGCGAGATGAACAGATAAGAAAGAAAATGATCAAACCCGTCACTATTGTTGAACATTTGGGTCATTTAAATGTTACTAAAAACTGGGAATAAAATGGAATATTTTTTATCAATATGTGTTGTTTCTCTTTGAATATTTAGATTTTGTTTTTTTGTGAATAAGTTTAATTCGGTTATATAGATTTATATATAGTTATATAGAGTTATTGATTAATTTTTTTTTGATTATTTTAGAGTCTCTGGACGCTAAACGAAGATTGATTGAATGAGTTTGTGTTAAGTGTGCTTTGCAAATTTGGGAAAAAGTCCGTATGCCTAAATTTTTTTAGATATTATTGAAAACTTTTTCAATTTAGATCATTTTTCTCTGGAATTTTTTATATTATCAATTAATATTGAATTAAAAAAGTATTATAAAATTGAACTATAGTATGGACAACCCTAGAATCTTTAATTAATTGTCAGTTGTTTACGTTAATTTTGGTGTTTCCCAATAAGTTCCGAAAATATCCTGCCTAGAAAATTAGCGACTCCATCATTTCAATAATTTTTTGTATTTTCAATAAAAGTTTACGAAACTTCACGAAGTAATTACGGAAAAGTTGTTTCTATGAAGGAGAAGTTGGACATCGAGCCGATTCCTCCGGCAAACTCGAAACTTCAGGGCGTAGTCGAGTGGCCTCTGTACAATGGGGCCAGGTTCGAAGGGCACCAAAAGAGCAAGGGCAGTTCATACGATGTCGAAGTTATCCTTCATGTTAGTCGGTTTTTTCGTTTGCCTGATTAGAAGAACTAGAGAGACTGAGCTGGAATCTGAGAGAATTTTTTGTAATTTTTTTTTTGGACTATACCAGAGTCAAAATAATAAAATAAACTTTTTATTTTGGCTATTCTCCATCTATTGTTGTATTGTCTTTAGTCTCAATTGAATTGAATATCGATCGGGTTTATATTTTGATTTTTTTGATTTTTTTTGCTACTTGGTTTTGTCTATTCATTTTCAATTTTATTCAAAGTATATCTTTAGACTTAGTTTAAACTAAACATTTTTTCACTGCTATTAAGCAGTAACACAATCTCTCTCTCAATACACTTTCCCACTCTCTCTCACTCTACCTTTATAGCATGTAGACATGGAGAACTCGTACCTTTGTGGCTATCTAAAGATCATCGGCCTAACCGAGGACTACCCCATCTTGACAACATTTTTCGACGGGGAGATCATCAGTCGAAAGTATCCCTTTCTAACCAGGAAGTGGGAGGCCGATGAGGATGTTGATAGGAAACATTGGGTTGGTTAGCCATCTATCCATTCATCCATACACCCATCCATCTATCTATCTTTTTATCTAACCATTCATCCATTTACCTGTCTTTTTATCCATTGATTTATCCATTCATTCATTCATTCAATCATTCATTCATTCATCTATTAACTAATGTATCCATCCTCACATCCACCCATCTATCTAACCATCTTTTAAACAATCCATCCTATTTATAATAATAATAACACTTATTATAATTATAAGTATAATATTAATGTTAATAATGATAATCGTTATTATATTACTCAGAGCCAGTTCAGTCACTTTGCGAAGTACAGCCAGACTTTCAATTCGGACGACTTTGATTATAACCAGCTTAAGAATAGAAACCACGTCTTCATGAGATGGAAGGTGCATGTGTGTTTGTGTGTGTGTGTGTTTATGTGTGTGTGTTTTGTGTGTGTTTGTCTGTGTGTGTGTGTATGTGTGTGTGT